CCCCCCCCCCCCCCCCCCCCCCGCCTGTCGGATTCTTTGCCTACTTCGCTTTCATAGAGGCGTGTATGCGGGGGCCCGAAGAGGTGACTTGCAGACCGGAACACCAGAATAGCTACGTGACAAATATACCACCAGTTTTACGTAGATGAGTCAGAAGAAAATAAGAATTCCTTACATTCATGAATGGGGCACGAGAGTTTCTCTGTGCGTTCCTGAGAAATTTCTCTCTCTCTCTCTCTCTCTCTCTCCCCGCGATCTATATTACTTGCACACGCACGCGCCACGGCACATCATCACCAAGCACCACTGACAAAACAAACGTGTCTTACAGCATCCTTCTCAACGACGACAACATATATATGCTGCTTTGCGGGAACATGTTACCAATTTCAAGCGCTGCTGTATATAAAGCAGTGCTTCGCGCCGTGTCCTCTGGTCATCTCCGCCGAACTGCCGGCGCTTCGGGGACGCAGACCGCGCGTGCACTACCGTGCATGACAGCGTCTTCGTCCCCGAAGTCGTCCAGTACAGACGACCTCCTGAGGACAACAGCGGGTCTTATTAACCTCCATAGACCTGGTGCAAGACGCGCTGCGTGTTTTTAAGCACCGACGACCCGACCAAGGCCCTCAGCTTGTGCGTGCGCCTGCTACTATGAGAGCTTCCGCGCGCACAATTCCAAGATCTGTGAAGGGCTATTCACGTAACCGCGTCGCCTCGGCCATGAAGCGCGTGGAGGAACACGTCAGCGCCTTCAACACTCGCGGGAAGCCGGGGCTGCTTAGGGCCCGGCCTCAGGGGGGATGGACGTCAGCGTCAGCAGGCCCCCTCCCCTGAGTCTCGAAGAAGACGCTCCGACGGCTTCGACCTCTTCAGGGGCGTGACCAGGAAACCCAAGTCCGTCCCGCACGCGCCCCTCTACCGGTTACAGGGTTCCTGCAACTAGATACATAATGAAGCCAAGAGGTGCACTGCTTTCGATTTTCGATCCTGACCGCGCGAATCTTAATCTTTCGTTCGTCGTTGTGCTCTTGTATGATTTCACAATCAAGCCAGATACATAAAACCAAGTGAAGTTTTAGATAAATTATGCTAACTGCTGTAGTATCTCCTGGCGTGGACACGTCAGAGACCCTACCAGAGTCGGGGGGTTGTAGCGCAATTTTTTGCGTCTGATAAATGGCTACCTACAATCAGGCTAATCCGTAGGGGAGGGG